ATCTTTGACATATAATGGCAAAGCATTAACATAAATTAAATAAATTACTCCGTAAAATTAAATAAATTATTTAAATGACAGATTTAACTAAAAAGGCTGTCAATAAATACAAATAAGAGCTTGAAATTATTTTTAAAAATTAGTCAGGTGAATTTACAATAAACTGACAATTAACGAGCAAGTGAAAGACATTTGAACACACGAGATATCATCCGGTAGACGATCGCATACGTACTGCGGCTGACTGTGGCTGGTTAACACGAGGAAAAGGGCAACTTTGGCCTCTCTTCTCGTCAACAGGCGGAGCTTGTCCGTTGATCGTCGGACTCTGATTGGTTAAACGAGGGAGGTTGGTCTAACTATACACATTTCTTTTGCGCTCTTGTCATTTCAACGTGCTCTTGCTCACCGATCTTTTAAACTCCACGATTTCTTTTACTTAGCACAAATGGATATGTGTTGCATAGACATTCCGCAAATCCGTCTGTATTTTTTTCTTCCCAACTCCTTTTTACGTTTTTCTTCTTTCTTGGTCATCATCATCATCTTCAGATCTCTCCTCATCATTAGCATCGTGATCGTTGTCATGAGCCTCGATTAATCCAGTGGTGGTGCTCACCACTTTAACTTATACTGGAGTTAGCTGTCAGCTGTCAATTTTAAAAATTTTTATAACAAATCAATTGTAATAAAAAAATAATTTTAAAAATTTTCACTTGGAATTTTTATTAATTTTCACGTGGAATTTTTTAATTAAATTTTTTTTTTTATAATTGAATTATTAAATTCAATTGATAACACTAAAGTTAACGTTTTTAATTATTTTAATTATTGAATTAGAACTAAAAAATATTTTTTTAAAATTGCACTTACAGTTTATCAAGTTTTTTACAAATAAAAATTTTTTTTTTTATTATTTTATAATCATTTTTTCAATAAAAAAAATTTTTCTCAATGAAATGGGTTTTTAAGATTAAATTTGGTATCGTTGAAAAAATCTTGACCTAGAGTAGTGCCATTTCATGGTTTCATGTCATTCTCACTAATAGTCAATTTATGATGATAAGTATTTAAGCTGCATTCGAAAATGCTCTATCTCTAGATACATAATGGAGAAATAACCTTGTATCTCGTGAACTATTGACATTTTTATAAATATAAGCTCATCCCGATTTTATACTCATCAAGACCTTTCATTTGAGTACCCAGATCAATTTTTCATATATTTATATACATTATATATATGTATATATAAAAAATATATCAAAAATGCATGTGGGTACTCAAATGAAAGCTCCTGATGAGTGTAACATCGGAATGAGCTTATATCTTTAAAAATGTCAATACATTAAGAAAGTACAGTGCAATTTAACA